TATATACATTTTCCAACTCAAAAATGGAAAAATTAACTCAAAATAATTCCCAGTTTCTTTGATATTTTGCATGTAATACAATGAAATTCAGGTTTTAGTGTCAAAATACTTCTTAGAGCCTCTTCCATCTAATGTGTGTTAGATGAGCATGAAAACACTGAGTCCGGAGTGTCTCTGTGTGCATCGCTGCTCAATCAGACGTGTGTGGATTAGAGGAGCGTCTCACACACACACACACACACACACACACACACACACATCTGCATGCTGACAAGAAAAACACTTCACTTTCATTGCTGCACTTCATGAACGTGTTAAAGAGCCGATCACTGCTGAGAGAACTTGTTTTAAGTGGAAACTATGATTTTTAACCAGCCTAATGACAGGAAATGTATTGAACAATTAAAAGGTAAATTACAATCTGAGAAAATATATCATGCATATTTAATATGTATCCAGTGAAACGCTTTACACCATTACACCACCAGTCAGAAGTTTTAAATAATTAAGATGTTTTAATTTGTTTGAAAGGAGTCTCTTCTGCTCACCAAGGCTGCATTTATTTGATTAAAAATACAGTAAAAATTTAAAAATATTATTATAATGTAAAACAGCTGTTTTCTATGTGAATATCTGTTAAACTGTAATGTATTTCTGTGATCAAAGCTGTATTTTCAGCATCATTACTCCAGTCTTCAGTGTCACATGATCTTCAGAAATCATTCTAATATGCTGATTTGCTGCTCGAGAAACATTTCTGATTATTATCAATGTTGAAAACAGTTGTGCTGCTGAATATGTTTGTGGAAACTGTGATAAGCTACTCTTAAAAAAAAAAAAATAATAATAATAATACTTTTATTCAGCATTAAATTGATCAAAAGTGACAGTAAAGACATTTGTTACAAAAGTTACATATTTCTTACATAAAAGTTACAAAAGTTACATAAGTTCTTTTGAACTTTCTATTAATCAACGCAGCATCTTTTCATTTAAACTTTTTTAATTGAAATTTTATAATTGAAAAATAAATAAATAATAAAAAATTAAACCCCACTTGCTTTGATATTTTGTATGGAATATAACGAGATTCATCTTTAAAAGTGACTTTTCCCCCAAATTAAAGACATTATATTTTGCATAAAGAAAATTAAGCCTAACATTTTTAAATGGTCCTAAAAATAATTTTACTCCTAACAAATATTTTTTTCATGCAATTTTTTGAAGCATTGAATATAATAAGAACAATTATTAGTATTTGATCACCAGTACTAATTAATGATAACCGAGCAGCAAAATCAACCTATCAGAATGATTTCTGAAGATCATGTGACACTGAAGACTGGAGTAATGATGCTGAAAATACAGCTGCGCATCACAGAAATAAATTACAGCTTAACAGATATTTACGTAGAAAACAGCTATTTAAAATTGTAATAATTTTTCACTGTTTTTACTGTATTTTTGATCAAATAAATGCAGCCTTGGTGAGCAGAAGAGACTTCTTTCAGAAACATTAAAAAATTTGAATTATTCCAAACTTTTGACCATCAGCTGCAACCAAAGCATGTGAAGCGCAGGCCTCTCGTTCGTGTGAAGCTCTGAAACGACTGAGTTCTGTGTGTTTGGGGTTCAGAGGTCTGCGGCTCCCTGCGGTTCAGACGTAAATCTCCCGCCGCACCTGCCTGTAATTGGGCTGCTAATCCCTGC